GGTGAGTCAACGGGAAGTGATTAATTCATGTGACTCAAAGTGACGGTAACTCACCCGTGTGTGTGTGTGTGTGTGTGTGTGTGTGTGTGTTGGTTGGACTGCATCACCTCAGTCGGTTGGGTTGTGTGTTATGACGCTGTCTGAGTGACATTTAAACTCCCTGAATGCAGATTTAAGGCTGCTGCTTTTATGTCATTTTGGGTTTTCAAACGAGGCGACCGGCATGAAAGAATCGTGCCGATGTCGTTCGGTGTAATGACGCCGTGCACGGTCTCGTCGTGATCTTTCAGCCAACGATGGCTGCCGTTCTGTGTCGACTGACCAAAGAGAGAAAGCAGCACTGTAAAAGGAAACGCTCAGAGTAGATGGACATGGATTCCTTCAAAGAAAGCTGAAGCTTGTTTGTAGCAGCGGGATGTAGCATGGAAACATGCGTTGGATGCATTCATGCATTGTCACATGTTACATGCAGTCTGTGTGCATGTCAGGGTCTTTAGCTGCTGCGGGGTCACATTTTGCAGCAGGATGTGCAGCAACGGATCAAAGAAGCTCAAAGTGACGCCGTCTCTAATGTTCTCAGCTCAAGTCTCACACAAATGAGAAGCACAAGCAAAGCCTCCAGTATCTCTGTGCTAAATGTAGATTATCTATTTCCCAGCACACAAACCCTGCTTTAGTTTTCTCTTGGTCCTGGTCCTGGTCTGGATCTGTTGTCCTCCTGTGGTTCAGACCAGAACAATAGAAACTCATAAAGTGAAGCAAAAATGTAGCTGTGTGATTTTTGGGAGGCAGCTGCAGCCACTAAACACAGACGTGAAGCCCAGATCGTCGATCGCAGAGCCGAACCCGGCAGCTCTGCGGTTCCCCGGACCTGGACCCGCTCCATCTCCAAAAGTACCGCTCTCCACTCCACTGTACTGCACTGTACTGGTACAAATAAGCTAACTACATGTGTATTGATATACATGGTATAGCGTACTTTTCAGTATGCTTGCAGCTAAAACTTGTGTACTTGTCAATAAAAACAATTTCTCACATAAGAAGTGTTTCTCTCCACTTGGCTGAGAGAAACCTCTTAAGACGCCTCCAAATCTCTGCCACTATTAAAGACTTTAAACTAATCAAAGATGATATAATAATATTTCTGTCTGAATATGTAACTAATGCAAAGTTTCTGCACATTCTACGGAAACGTTACAAAATACTCTTTATGCTTTCAAAGTGAGTCCCAGTGAATTGCTCTACAGGCGTGGATGGGCAGCGATAACCAGGACCCCCGTGTCTCTGTACGAAGTGACCTCAGATAAAAGATGCAAAACAACCACAAAGAGTGAGAAAACAGCCCACACGGCCCTGTTTTCAGCAGTAACACCGTCGGTTATGTTTGGAAGGTGGTTTGGACTTTTCAGAAGCGTCTCCTGCTTCTGCTCCACTTTTATCTAAATATGACTTTTCTTAGAGGAGCCCATCGCCGGCTCCAACTTTGGGACCAATCGTTTTGTGAGTCTCCTACTCACAGCTTTTTTTTTTTTTCTTTTTTTTCTTTTTTTTTTTGTAGAACCAGTCATAGATGAGGAAACTGCACGCTGTCACAAACGGACACATTATGATTACCATGCATCCACACTGACCCCCTCATGTGACCAAAGAGCTCATTTCATAAAATTAACTAGAAAATGTTAAATTAGCGCAGACCTCTGAACGCTGAAATGAGAAGAGATTCTTTGGTGGCCAAGAACAACTGAATAATAAAAACACCATATAAAAATTATGTGTTTGGGTTTGTTGGCTCCGCGGCTCAGCGGTCCGTCCAAATCCTGACATATTAAAGTCATAAATCTGCACCGGTGGGATGTTTCAGTGCTGCAGAGTCGGATGTGGGGGGAGGGGTGTGTTGCTGGTGGTGGGGCTGACGGCGTCCTCCGGTCCTGAGTTTGGTTTGGTTTTGTCTTTTGTAACTCTGGGTGGAGTCTAATTGCTGGTGTTTAATCTGGTTTGGTTTGCAGTTGAGAATAAAAATGAATCTGAGATCAGTTTGACTGCGATGATTCGGTGTTAAAGTAACTTAAGGGGGACCTTTTCCACTTAAATTTGCCTCCCACCCTCCTGATTGGCAAACCTCCATAAGTAGCACCTGAGCTTTTAAATATGTTGACCTATTTATTTGAAACTTTGGCCAAACCTTTGTTTAATATGATCGTCCAAAAGTGCAACAATCAGAAGAAGACGGGAAATAAGAGAAGAGACTGAAAAGGTCCTCTTTAACTTCACGCAAGAAGTCCAGAGTTTGCCTCCCGGCTCCTCAAAGCAGCCTCGAAGTCTGGGATCAGGTCTGATCCCTTCCCCCCCTCTCCTCTCTCTCTTTTCTCAGAGACGCCTTCCTGCGCATCCTGGCTGCCCAACAGTGGCAGAGGAAGCGAAAGACTAAAGACTTGAGCGAGATTAAGTTGCCCTCACTTGATGATGCCGTAACATCAACTTTGGAGGGGACAGCGGACGAGGGCGCAGCCGAAGTGCCGTCACGTCACGGTAAAGCTTCACATTACAGTCACAGAGCTGCACACAGCCTCCTGATGTACACGTGGTTCTGTTACTGTGTGATGGTGTTAATGCTGCTCCTGTGACTCCAGATTTAGTGA